GAATCGACTTTTCAATTCTCTATCCATCGATGCCAAAACGAATTCTGTGGCTCGAATGGTTCTTGAGAAACTTCGAAAAAAGCAGCGTCATGTTCGAGTGGATTTTGCAACTCAAAAAAAACCACGCAAATCGAAAACTTCTTGAATTCAAGCATTTTTTGAGAAAACTGCAACATTTCCTTATCGATGGTTCAGCAAAAACGAGCGTTCTTGGTGATTTTGCTTCCGAGAAACATGCAACGGGACGGAAAACATGAAATTTTGCAATAATCTTGCGCCACCCTTGCACAAAACGACGAAAATTTTTCTAATTTTATAGACAACAGAATACTGTATTTTTTCTACATAACCGCCCCCTGAAAAGTGTTAGTTTTTCGAGTTTTTTTTCTGTCGTTTGTGTCTCTGAAATCCTTTGAGCTGCAGAGCTTGTTGTTCTACCAATCGAAAGAGAATTAGACACCCGATTCAGTGAGAGCAACTTCCCTTAAGAATTCGTGCTGAAATTTATCCTAAAATTTCAGACAAAAATCATAAAAGACCACACTTTTACATCTAATAAAATCCTTTTAATCAGTATTCCCCATACAACAGATAATCCCCATTTGTGTAATAAATAATGCCCACAATAACGCATAATAAATAACTAAACCTTAAGGATGCCAATTTAAGCAAAGACCGGCGAAGGCCTGAATTTTTTCTTCAGCTCCCTTTTCGTTGTCGACCTAAAAGTGGTGCTGCTGGGTCGCCTATTTGCTTGGAATTGTCGTCGATTTGCGCCACTTTTCACTTTGTAGTAGTTTTTAAAATTCCCGTTACTCGGATGTCTCACATACAAGCTGGGATTCTGATAACTCGTTACTGGCTTAACACTGTTTTGATAGGATTTCGGTACGTAGTTCTGATACTGCCGTTGTATTTGCTGATAAGTACGCACATTATTATACGAGGCTTTCTGAGTGTTGGATTGCGATTGAGAAGGTTGGAAGTTTTGAGAGGATTCTTTCAAGTTTGCTGTTTGTCCCTGCGAGTCGTATCTTGGTTGGTTTGCATAATATTGCGAGTAATCTGCAGCTGTTTGTCTTTTGGTTCGATGCATAGTTTCTTCTTGATTTGCTAGCGTGTTCTTCATTTGCTCTTTAACCACCTTCAGCAAAGCTGAGTCTTTTTGGACACCCAGTAGAGTTTTAACGGAGATTTCTTTGGTTTGGATATCAGCTAAGTCTGAACTGGAGAATCGATGCAATTTATGTTCTTGCGGAAGCTGATCAATGAGAGTCGGCGACTTCTCTTGTTGTTGCCTTTTAGCCAGCTCCTCTGGACATTCAGTAGTGGTGGCCACTTCTGAAGGTGCAGAAATTTCTTCCTCCTTTTCAGCTTCCTTTTTGGCCAGTTCTTCTGGGCATTCTGTTATGGATGTCGATCCTTCTTCATCTGCTTCTCTATCCGGTTCTTCAACCGGTTTGTCCTTGGTTTGCCTTTCAGCTGCCTCCTCTGGGCAAATCGTGGTTTCAGCAACTTCAACACCAGATTCGTTTGCACTGGAATCTACTTCATATCGTTGCTCTTCGTCATTTTGTTCACTATTCTCTGAAGCTATTGAGGAATCCTGCTTTGAACTGGACGAATTGGCTTCAAATCGTCGTTTTTCAAGTTCTTCGGGACATTCAGTGGTAACATCTTCAGCAATTTCTGAAAGTTATGTTGAAATTAAAGAGAGTTTTGAAAAAAGTCGTGCAGTTTGAGTGTCCCAAAGCTAATGATTAAGAATGAAGGAACTCAAAAACCTCCTTGCTCCTTTTCAATTTTTAAAAGTTACCTTTAGAGCTGTCGTATTTAATTTCAGCGTCTTCCGGTAACTTTTCAGTGACTTTTTCTGCCAATTTATCGTTGTTGCTAATCAACTCATTTTGTCGCCTTTTTTCCAATTCCTCCGGACACAAAGTGGTGACCTCCTGAGCTGTTGACCTTTCGGTTTCTTCTTCTGTTGCTTGCACTGTTGTGGTCGCTTCATTCAGTTCTTCTGGACAAGGAGTCGTACTTGGGTCATCCTTAAGCGCGTCAATCGCCTTCGCATCACAATAGGCCAAAAAGAGCAGAAGTAGAAGCGTGAGGGATTTCTTGGAACCAATTAGTCCGACCTAGAATGCAGCATTATCTTAATTAACACAGAATATAATCATCAAACAGCTCTTCATCTATTCTGCTGTCTATTGTCTAATCGTTGAAGAACGAAGGAGCGTAACAGAAACCCATCAAATGTGTAAAAAATAACGATGTTTGAGAGGAGAATGTTCGGGCAATTAAGAGTTAAACAGTTCACTTACCATGTTTTGCAAAAATATTGCGCACACTTGGATGCACCCAGTTTGAATAAAATCAGCGAACGCACGAATAGCAGACAAATGAGCTGAACCAAATTTAGATCTCCGGTTTTGTAATGGTTCTGACTGGTTCCAGTAGTGCCGTTATGGGCTGCAAAACCGACGAACCTTAATGCAAACGGCAAACATCTCGAACGGCTTCGAATGCGTTTTCGTACGGTACTTTCTCTCATTTCTTTGCACTGATGTGTTAATTTCTGATTTGAACTTGTCCGCGAAACGGCCCAGGATCGCTTTTTGTTATGTCTATGCTAACGAACCTCTTAGCGTGCCTTTAAACACGTTCTAATTCAGTTTAGTTGCCCATTGGAAAATTCTGTGCTGATAAGTCACAAATTGCCACTTTGTCTCGTTCAAAACTCAAATATTTTAAGCGGTGGAGGTGTCAAGTTGGAACGTAGCGGCGCCAGGCCACCCTGCATCACTTGTAGACCCCCATGTGTGCGAGAGAGAGAACCGAAGCACGCTACGCTCCTGAATGGAACGTAAAGTTTCTGAATGAAAGTGTGAAAACTGGACAGGAACTGCATTTTCTGGAGGAAAGGAAAATTTCTGTCAAGGATTGAGTGCCACTCTGATAGAAACTGGTTAAAAATATATTGCAAGCTAAAAAATTAATAAGTACATTTTTTTGTACAAGTTTTCCTTGAAACTGCTTCCATACATTTGGAATGCATTTGACTTGACTATAAAAGGCGCATTCAAGCAATTTTCAAGACATTGCTAATACTAAGCAATTGAATGCACAGAGTGTATGTAAATTGAACGGTTTCGATTAAAAACAATCAGGAATATTCCCATATATCACCCTACATAAAAATTACATAAATACATAACGGTAACATAAAACTAAGCAATTGCAGAATGGGCGCTGCGTTCATCAATAACAAAGATTTCGCTCGTTGAATCGCCTGTCATGGGATTCTCGTATTCATGCTGGTCGGGATTGAGAATTGGCTTCTCCAAGTTGACGGTTTGGTTGCGAAAAGGCGACTTATGGAAACGCATCCTGTTTTAAACCATTACGGCAATGCCCATTAACAAAACTGTTCGTTTATATTTACCGGAAGTTGAAGAAAGTGTGCTGTTTCCTGCGTCCGTAAATGATCAGGACAATTCCCATAACGGCCACGTAGATGGTGACCAAAATAATCACGATCATCATCTTGGACATTCCTTCGCGCGCCCCTTCATTGGATGCGGTCTGCGCGTGGAATTTGATCGGTTTGAATCCCTGCAAATTGCGTTAAGAGCTATTGTTGATTTTTGCAAAATTATCGTCAGCAACTTGCCAAAATATCGCCACAGGCTTTTTTCTCGGGAACGATAGTGCCATCCTCACAAATGCACTTGAATTGCGAATTCCTGCTGGCCACACACAAGTACGTGCAAGTATTATCCTGGCAGGGATCCGGTACTTTCGGTTGCAAACCTTCTTGAGCCACTGTGAAGAGTTCGTAGCTTTCGGCCGAGATTTGGAACGACTTGCAACTTCGGGAGTCGTACTGAAATTGCACAAAAAATTTAAAAAAACATTTAGGCCGTTTTCATATGTATATGAGATACTCAGGGCACGATGATACAAAACTCAGGAAACTAAGTTTCCGGATTAGCCCGTAATTGGCAGTATAGTAGGCCCATTTTTTGACAGCGCAACGTGAATTATAGCCCAACCGGCAGGCCTACAAGCGCTAAATCGCCGGTTATAC